TACACCGTTAAGTAGCTACAATTAAGTAATTAAGTAAATTCGGTTTCTTCTCGTTTCTTAGTAATGGAAAAAGGTAAGAACAGGTTTGCTTTAATATAGAAGGTTTGTCCAAGCTCATTAGAAATATAACTTTATCTGTACAGCTTAGATGTTAATTAATATAATCGTCTCAGCGCACCTTGCACGGCGGTACCACCTAACCTCTGGGGGCAGATCAGGGGTAACAAACACAAAAGGCACCGCGGATGATAACACTTGTACAATAAATCTTTCTTGGCAACCTGCGAGTTTTATACTTTTTTTTTCCAACGGAATATCATCGATCGAAGAAACATGGGAAAAAAAGAAGACACAGAACCTTGAAGGTTGGTAACGTTTCAATCTGAATGGATAAGATAAAACTGAAACATCATTTTGCAATGGTACACTTAAAGATTATTGAAAAGTTGCTCCTGAGCCTGAAAATGACCATTCTGCTTCATCTATCCCTATCATCTTCTTCCTTTTTGTTGAAGTATTACAATCAAATTGGTTCATGACTCAAGACAGGATTGACTAAGTCGACGATTGGTTTAACTCCAAAACATTACAAATTGTAATCGTCGATGCCAAATTGTACTGACATTGGATATAATCCTGCAGAAAAATATAGTCTGTGTCATTTTAATTGTACCTTAACTAAATATGAATGCATTTCTGCTTTTGTTGATTAACAGCACTGATGTAATATTTATTTAAAACAAAATAACGTTATCATGATGTAATAATCGCACACATGCAGGGTTTTATCCATGTGATTGTCCAGTCAGTTGTAAACCCCGTTAAGTTTTTAAATTTACGATATCATGTCTAAAGTTTTATAACGAAAAGCTGTAGATAATAATTTTTGTATTACAGACTTACTTTTACTTGATTAAAAAACGTATGTCCTTTTAGTCCTTTGTACACTGTATATGTATGTAACAATCTGTTTTACTGCAATTAAGTGTTTTAATATATCAGTTAAACCTCTGTGAATTTAGGTAATGCCAAGTCAAGACATAGACATAAACCTCTGTTAACATCAGTTAAATTGTACTGAAATCGTATAAAATCTTACAGAGAAATATGGTCTGTGTATTTTTTGTGCTTGATTAAATATTGATGCTTCTGATTAACAGTACTGTTATGATATGTATTGAATGAAAAATAGAAGTTATCATGATATAATAATCGCACACAGTTTAGTATCTATACAATAGTAAAACTGATTTGATTTTATGGATGACCTCCACGCGCGCAGCGGTTTCCAACGTTTAAACCAAAAAAAGAAGAAAAATCTGACCCGCTAAAAGTTTCCAGCATCTTGCCATGTTATCTACCAAGTTGTGAATGGTTTGTTTGCTACTGTATATCCCTAATGATAATTTTATGGTTCCCGGGGAGGAGCACTGTCACTTTTCTTGAATAGGTTTGTCCCGCCCCGGGGTGAGTGCCGGCAGAGGTGGGGTTGGGTGAAACAAAAAGTCCAGTGCAAAAAAAGAAACGCCGATGAAAAAGTCTAAAAACAAGCCAAAAATAAGAGATAGGGGAATTCTTTTTACACAACCAGTGAATCTTACCTCGCTGACGTTTTGGAGTCTGTCAGACACCTTCTTCAGAGCTTCTGACTGGAGTACTGCATCTCGGCGGCGAGAACACTATCCCAAACATGGCTTAGTTTGTACCCCCCCTCGTCCCGTCGTCCCGGTTCATTACAGGGGCTGACTTTCTGATCCAAACTGCCTCCTTGATCCAGCGGTTTCTTTTATTGTTTTCTCTGTCTATAACTTTCACCCCCTCCCAGTCAATTACGCAGTTGTTTCTAGCAATGTGATCTGTCACTGCTGATTTCTTTTCTTCTTTTTGTGCATGTCTTTTCTGTGATCTTGTGTACTTCACAGTGTCCATGTTGTCAGCTTCCTTCTTGTGTTCTTCTAATCTAGTCCCAAATGTGCGTCCCGTTTCCCCTATGTAAACTTCACTGCAGCTCTTGCACGGGATCTTGTATATGCAGTCCGTTTTTGCCGTGTCCTGTAGTCTATCTTTTGGGTGGACCAACAGACTCCTCAGTGTAGTTTTTGGCTTTACTACGGTGGAGATGTTGTGTTTTCTGAAGGGGCTCGGTGTCTGACAGACACCGAAACGTCAGCGAGGTGACATTCACTGGTTGTGTAAAAAGAATTCCCCTATCTCTTAAGTTTTACCAACCTGATGAAATTATTTTCGGAAGCCAAAAATAACCAAAACCACTTCTTCGAGAGTAAAAACACCAGTCTGCGAGGCGCATGGTGCTTTCTTTGGACTCGGCAAAGATTACGGCAATTGTCTTGACATAAAACGTGAAAGCATCCATATTTGGTTGTTCATGCCTTGAAATGCATAAAGATATGCCCAATTTCCCTTTTTCATAGGCATAGATAATTCAAGAAATTTGGCCTGAGAAAATGTGTTTCGTCGTTTTTCAAGATGACATGAATTAAAATTGAAATAATTAAAAAAAACACAGCCGGACTGCAGAGTTACACAAACTATATCTGTACTGACTTTCATAAATAATTGTTGCATTTTAAGTGATCACTGAGAAGTCCTACAAGCTGTTAAAGCCATTCTCAGCCCCCTAAGTGTCATTGCAACGTCGGGATGTTCGTCGTCCTCACCATGGTTACTCCGCCTCATCTCTAGTGACTGTTCTAGATACCTGACGGCCTTTCTGTAATCGGCAAGATAGCCACAGCTTGTAAACTTTACATGGCAATGTCAGGATGTGCAGTCTCCTCACCATGGATGCTCCGCATCATCTCTAGTGCCTGTTCAAAATACCTAAGGGCTTTTCTGGCATTGCCAAGAATGCCCCAGTTAATAGCCAAGTTGCTAAGCAACGCGGCGATGCCAGGATTCACAGTGTCCTCACCGTGGATACCCTGCAAAATCCGTAGTGACCGCTCATAATAGCCGATGACCTTTGCATAATCACCGAGGTCACTCCAGGCTTTAGCCAGGTTCATGAACTGACGATGTCAGGATGTTCAGTGCCCTCACCATATATATATGCACCCTTTCATCTTTAGTGACTGTTCAAAATACATGTAGCTGACGGCCTTAAATGCTTAGATTACGATGTTCAAAGGTTATGTGTTACAAGGCGTTTGGTTTACGGTAGCCAGCTGCCGCCGGGCCACGTGCCTGCAAAGTGTATGACGCTGAAGGGAGGTTCTACTGACAATACAGATAAAAATATTGAAGTCACCATGTTAATATTTAAAAATATTTTGTTGTTGTTTGTTTCAGATTCGCCGTAGACGACATGCTGAGGTCAGCACAAACCATTGTGCAGGAAATCATACTGAAAAACGTGGACAAGACTAGACTGCGCCGAATCCGGGGCTTCCCAGGATATCAAATCTGGTGAGTTTTTAGTAAAGGTTTATTGCAAGATCTTGTCTAAAGGTTGCTCTTGTCCAAATAGACACTAACGCTTATTGCTGTTAAACATGTTATTAAGTGTTATTACTTTTTGAGTTTTTGGATATATGTAGAAGTTGTTGTCAAATCTAACTCTCATTACCTCCGGGGGAGGAGACATCCTTCCGCGGAAGGGTTTTGTAAGAGATTTTGATTTTCATGTTAGCAGCTGTTTCTCGCGTTTGGATGGACGGATTCTTTTGAGACTATTGGGCTGCAGATAATGCACGTTGTTTTTTTTTGTATAGGTGTTTTCGGGCGTGAAAATGGTGCATTTTGGTGGCCCCAGAACACCCCTTTGAGCGTGAAAGTGGTCGCGACCGTTGACCTTTGGCGTGTATTAAGTATTGTCGGTCTCGTCCACGAAGGTGACCCCTCGTTCAGAGGGGTGTCCGGTCTCGATAAATTCTTTGTTTAAAACCGTAGTCCAGCGGCGAGCAACAATTGTTGTTGTAAACAACATACAAAAATATTCATTAAAAAGCCCGGAGGTATAAAATCTCAGATTTTACTTGTGTCTTTTTAGATGCGTATGGCCAACAGGAGACGAGAGGCTCTCCGTCCCAAATAAAGACTAATATGAGGAGTGCAGCAGGCAGTTCTGGGAGCTGGGGACTGGGAACTCACACGCGGATTTACACTGGGGAGAAACCGTGCAGATGTGAGGAGTGTATAAGGAGTTCACTACACTAATAAATATACAGTCTAAAAGGACACATGCAGACTCACACCGGGGAGAAACTGTACAGATGCGAGGAGTGTAATCGTGAGTTCAGTTATGCTGAGGCCACATTTCCAAACCGGGGCCCGGTGGGCTGTTTGTATATCAACTGCCAAATCTGAAGACACGCGCGGACTCACACGGGTAAAAAAAAAAAAAACAATACACTGAGGAGGTCAATGTCATGATTATCTTTTTGTAAGTGTACTTGTTTTTTTTTGTCTGAGTTGTCTGATGTCTCACTATGCAAATCAAAGCATGGTACCGTTTGCATGTCTGCTAATCAAGCACCATATAACCCACCAAGCCGGTTTTACCACTCAAATACTATATAAACGCGCAATTCCTTCATTATCGATTCTTGTCAAGTTGTATCTCCATCGCCTTGGAAGCATCTTGCAGTCGGTTGGAACGTCATCGCATCTCAATTAGTAAGTACTTCTAGTACCATGATGCCAAGTTGCAGTTAATGGTAGACTACATGTATCTATTGTTATGTTATGCAACGTACTGAACCTTTATCCGCCCACAAATTGAAGATAAAGTAGACTACATATCTATTGTTATGCAACTGAACTTTCAGCTGCCTGCAACGTAAACTTGAAAAAAAGTACTAGTACTAGACTACATATCTACTGACCGTTTCTGAAATTACATACAGCTACTTGAGTAACTCTTTCTGGCATATCTTATTCATTATCTAACCTTGACCGACGTACAGATGTGTATTGTTGTACAACTGATATTTCAGCTGCCAACACTAATAACAATAGCCTGGGTGCCGTCAGATTTGCAACAGAGCTCCCTGTGTTCGCCCCCTTTTTTGGCAAGGTTAACTCCTAGTAACTGTCCTTGTATATATTATTAAACAAAAGGCGCCCTCATAGCTTGGCCGACATGCACTTGGGCATGTTTTCGATGGCACGTCCATGCCCAATTCTATGACCAGATCCACCGTGTCTGGCGAGACCACACCGGCATTCGGTCGTGGTACGCTGGGAGGGGACACCAGCAACCAGGTTGTTGACCTCTGACATTGACACGGCGCCACTTATCGTCTTTTGGTCATACTATCGAGGATTCTAGCTTGGCCGGTTTGTAGTTGAGCACGGTTGAGAAGGAACGTGTGACACGTGGAAGAGATGCAAGTATGACATCCACCCAGATGGCGATTTGGCAACCTCAGTGTGAAGACAGCTTTGTCTAATCGCTCCCTATTAGTATGTAAATTGGGGGTATATGCATTCTCTTTTGTTTTGTGCTAAAAGGTGATCTTCTAAAATGGTCTAAGACTATATGCAAATTCATAAAACCAGCTGCATTGAACACAAACCGTCCCATCTAATGGGATGTTGTCAGTATGCAAAAATATGTTTCAACATGTATACTATTCTGAGATAATACGTTGAATTTTGTATTATTCTTGCAGGATCCGCTGTTTGACCAACATGGCAGCCGGAGATGAGTCCCAGCTGGGTAATCTGAAGAGCCACATGAGAACCCACACGGATGAGAAACCTCACAGATGCGAGGAGTGTGACAGCCAGTTCAGTGACCTCTGTAATCTGAAAATTCACAAATTACACACTCACAATAGTGAGAAACCATGCCGATGTGAGGAGTGTGGCATCGGGTTTAGTAGACTGTCAAATCTAAAGAGACACATGCGGACTCATACTGGTGAGAAACCGTATACTTGCGAGGGGTGCAGCAGGCAGTTTAGTCGGCTGTGTAGTCTTAAGAGACACATGCGGGCTCACACTGGTGAAAAACCGTACCAATGTGAGGAGTGCGGCAGCCAGTTTAGTCTTCTGTCTTATCTGAAGGGGCACATGCGGACTCACACGGGTCGAAATCAGTGTGAGGAGTGCGGCAGCGAGTTTAGTAATCTGTCAACTCTGAAGAGACACATTCGGACTCACACTGGTGAGAAACCGTACACTTGCGAGGAGTGCAGCAAGCAGTTTAGTCGGCTGTGTAGTCTTAAGAGGCACATGCAGAATCACACTGGTGAGAAAACGTACGGATGTGAGGAGTGCGGCATGCAATTCAGGAAGTTCCGTGATCTGAAAAGCCACATATTACGCACTCACACCAGTGAGAAACCATACCGATGTGAAGAGTGTAGTAAGGAGTTCAGTGAGCTCTGTAAACTGCAAAACCACATACGTACTCACACCGGTGAGAAACCTTACAGATGTGAGGAGTGCGGCAGCCAGTTTAGTCATCTGTCTCATCTAAAGGGGCACATACGGACTCACACTGGTGAGAAACCCTATCGGTGTGAGGAGTGCGGCAGCGAGTTTAGTGCACTGTCAAATATAAAGAGACACATTCGGACTCACACAGGTGAGAAACCGTACACTTGCGAGGAATGCAGCAAGCAGTTTAGTCGGCTGTGTAGTCTCAAGAGACACATACGTACTCACACTGGTGAAAAACCGTACGGATGTGAGGAGTGCGGCAGCCAGTTTAGTCACCTGTCTTGTCTGAAGGGGCACTTACGGACTCACACGTCAACATCCTAGCTCACCCAGTGAAACTACTAAAAGCCTACAAATGTCGGTTATATGAGCACAGCAAACGGCTCAGTATCAAATGCCACAAAACGTTTGTGGTGGTTTGAACAGTGAAAAAAAGATGGGAGGGGTTGTTTTAGATGTTTGACAGGGGCCTAACGATGTTATGCTGTTGAACATTTCGTTCCATATATATATATTCACTGTTTTCGACTTTATAGAAAATATGTAAAACAAAGATAACGTTATTGCAATCCCGATTGTTGCACGTTCCGTAGCATGTTGACTAGAAATAGTAGTGTGTGAAGTGGTGACTGTAAAGTGTTTAGACTATAGATGGTTGCATGGTTAGTCACCGTTCGCTTGATGTCAAGGCGTCATCGTCCGACCATTATTTCACTTTCCCAAGTGAAATAACGCCGTCTTTTTTCTGTTTTAATAACTGAAGTTTTGTTTTCCACTTTTTACACTATATATAGCTGTTTACGTAAATAAATTTAGTTAGTTAGTTGGTTTGTACTGTAAACTGGTTGCAGCATCAATGTTAGATATGAGTGCGTTAGAGTGTTGCTTGTAATATCCCGTAAGCTACAAGAGATTTGTAAACTTTCTGTCTCTTATAGTAGTAAGAACGAAGTCAGAGCTAGAGACGTAATGGGTTGTTGTCTTAATTCTTTACCAACATATCAACAACCAGTAGAAGTCATACTTCCACGGCGGTCGGTTATATGAATTATTTATAATCTGACTTTATTTGGCTAAGCAAGAACCTGGTCTGCTAAAATAAGGCTGGGGAGCGTTCCCTAATGAGTCGGGAGGGTCGGCTGGTGTTCGGCTAGTGTTTCTCTGTAATTCGAGATGATTAGGCACACGCTCTGGTAATGCTTAGGTCACATTTCCAAACCGGGGCCCAGCCGGGCTGTCTGTATGGACGAAAAATTAACAATACATATCAAGAGTATGTAGTTATAGTGGCCATGGTTATCATCGGAAAGGTTTCTGCGTTTTGTTGACTTTTGTTGACCGGGCCCCGGTTTGGAAATGTGACCTCAGCATTAGGAGGGATTCCTCTGTAGGTTTGCACACGCTCGTCTCCAAATTTGACCGCCGAACACGAGCCGAACACTGCTGACCTACTGGCGAACACGAGCCGACCACGCGCCGGACACGTGCTGAACACTAGCTAACCAATCCCGAACACTTCCGAATTTTTAAAAAACATTTTGAAACATTCGGCTGGCGCAGCCGAACCGTATCCGACCCAGCCAAACGCCAGGCGACCCACTCCTAACAATGATTGGCGAGTGTTCGGTTTGTATTCCTGTTCTAAAGAATAGAAGAATCTAGAATGGTAGGTTAAAGAATAAAGATCATTTCAAGTTTTCAAAGTCAGATGTGTTTGATTTCGAAAGTAGTAACAGTTATATGTAACGCTACACAGACACACACAACAGTACGATGTAAACATCAATTGACCACAATGTCCCGACATTCATTGCGGTAAATAAACTATGACGTAATGATGTGATAGGTCTATTCGGCTATTCACCAGTTTCCCATCCCCAGAATGCAATGCGAAAACAGGAGGCTAACCCTCATTTGCATAGGACAGGAAGGCATCGGAATGATCCTGTTGACGTTATTGCTTTTTCTGATGTTTCTTCTTCTTCTTCTTCTCCTCCTTCTCCTCCAGCCATTTTTTAAATGGATTCAGCTTCTTCATTTTAGGGCCCAAGGTCCTGAAATTTGGTATGGAGGTACAGTGGGCAAATACCCCTAGGCGTTTTTTAAATTATTGTGATACAGGCTTTTAGAATGGTTTTATTTGAGTTTTTTGGCTGTGTTATAGCAAATGTATTACTGTATTAGTGTGCCTTGTTTACCACGTTTGGGCATGAGTCATCACAATGGAATGCAGGGCATCAACCAATAGGCATGCAGCTTTCCTCTATTCTTCTTGCTGATTGGCTGTTGGGATTTAACTTGATTAACACCTGCTCAGAGCATTTCCACCTGCACAGAGCATTTCTTGCTGATTGGCTGTTGGGATTTAACTTGATTAACACCTGCACAGATCATTTCCATACTGACAGTATGTCTGTATTCAAGTGTTTTGGTAGGTATTTCAAGCTTTCCTGCTCCAGCATTGGAATGCGGGGCATGGACGTTTTTTTTTTAATTTTGAAAATCAACAGTTTGCATTATGCAATTAAAAATCCTAACCAATAAAGTAGGGAATAGCTATCCAACTGTTGTTTTAGTTGTATGTTACTTCATATTATAGTTATATCAATGTAAATCATTGTTTTCCCTTGTGTTTCTCATTCTTTCCCTGCCATGTCGTAAAATGTGGTGAACCCATCGCTGTATTTGCTCCAAAGCAAATATTGGCCTTTCTAGTTTTTCAGTGTGTTTTGAGGTGTTGTGGCAAATTATATTACTATAGGCCGAATGTGATAACAAATAGATAATGAATGTGTGGTTTGTAATTTTATAGTGGTAATGCTATATACCGATGCTGTCCGTTACAAACCATATGCTCCATGTTCAAAAGAGCAAAAAACTTCATTCTCTATTTGTTGTCAGATTTGGCCCATGGTGATTTAATTATTGTTGTTAAGCATAAAATGCCCCAGCACCTCAAAAGACCTGAAAAGCAAGCTGTTTAACGTCAAAAGGATCATTCCGATGCCTTAATGTCCTATGCAAATGAGGGTTACCCCCCTGTTTTCGCATTGCATTCTGGGGATGGGAAACTGGTGAATGTCTGACAGGGGATTGAGGAGGGGTATCAGGCTACCGGGGCTCCGCACGCGGCTTCCATGAAGCCAGCCTCAACGGTAAATCATTTGAAATGATAAGCAGTTTTACGGGGACTTTCTTGTCCAAATAAAATAAAATACGCACTGCATATACCTCAAATGTTGTTGACTTTGATGTGTGTGAAATCACTCTTAAGCCACGGTCCCAATTGGGAAAAGGGGCCCTGGCGGGTAGTTCCCGGGCTGTTTTTTACTACTTTCGGGCGGGATCCCGACGTGGCCCCGCGGGGCACCCTGCGGCTACCGGGCTATTTTTTGGCCCGTCGGGGCCCCGATAAGAATTTAATTCTGAGTTAAATTCTACCCGGGCCCCGCTGACAAAAAGACGCCGTGACCTCATCGTGAGAACACCGAGAGGTACCCCTCCGGTTGCCGGCATTCCACCGGGACACATTTCTTACGTCACAGACCAGATGAACAGAATAAAGGTGTGTACGTCGTAAACCCGGGTAAAATGTGTGACCTCACAGATCAAATGATCACAACAAATACGTGAATTCTGCATTACGTATAGGTCAATACAAGACGTCGTCAGAGAATCTGCTGGGTACCTGACGGGTGACTGCCGGAGACCGACCAAATTTTAAAAAAAATGCTACTGAAGGAAACTTTTAATTGTGACCACGACAGCCGATGCCCGCTCGACTCCTGAACCCGACCGGGGCCAGCCGGGGCTACATCCTCGACGGGCACCGGCGTAATTGGGACCTTAGCTTTACGCGCGTCGAATGCTCATTCGAATAAATCGATGTTAATTTAGCAAAGAACTGAATTTAAACAGACCCCATTATATTACACATATCCAATAAAAATGACAGCATAGATGTACTGTCCCCAAATCGGTTTATATTTGTGAAAAGGTGGATTTTTTTTACTGTTAGACGGTACCCATGAAAAAAGGTCTTGAAGTCGCGGCTTTACAGAAAAAGACCGCGGGTGACCCCAAATCGAACGAGCGTTAGGTTCAAATTACGTCATATCGAACATGAATCGGTTCGAAAAAAAGGTTGGGACATTTGGGCCCAAATTTGGCCACCGTGAGAGCAGATTGAGTTAGTAATATTTTGTAATTTTTTTACCTTAGGCCATGTTGATTTGATTATATGGATGACATCCGCGCGCGCATGAATTTTCGGCCGTTTCCAAAATTTTCAACCATACTGTAAATCGTACAAAACAGTTGCAAAATGAGCAAAAATATACCATAAGTTACAAAAAAAACTATACCAATGTCGTAGAATAGCCAAAAATCAAACGAAAAAAGACGAAATTGTAAAGAAATGAACTTGAAGACTAGATTATTCGCCAAACCATATTCTGTGCCATTTGCTCAACCCTCATGACCACGTAGATTTCATAATGAAAATAACTTTTTTTTTTTGCAAAACTTTTTTTTTATTCGCATGCACGCGCGCATCAGTTTTGGGGCTCCCGGAGGATGTCATCCATATAATCAAATCAACATGGCCCTACAGAAGTGAAAGGTAAACATCATATCCATCTACGGCTCTGTTGCTAATTTGAATGGTCTGCGTGGGACAACAGTTCTGTGTTCTGTCGTGTCATTGTTACGTACGTGTGCAACATTAATATAGTGAAATTGACATGGTCGCGACGTCAGTGTCAATAGTTGATTATCAAAGTCCCTGAACGAGTGCCATCTGTCTCACAGACAAAATTAGCTCAGAATGATACGGATAGAAATCTGTGTCTCCACGACTCTCATCTAGATTCAAAAATTATTCTTTTATCCTTTTCACAAGATGTACAAAGAAGGAATTCCTTAGAGTAATCCGCAATCTTCTGGCAGCTAGATTGACAAGTATTGTGGGCGTTAAAACAAGACGGACAAAAAGCAAGTAACGGTTAACATTTTTATACATTGTATATTGAATTTTTGGTAAACAAGCTGGTGGCTAGAAGATTGCGGTATAAGTTGGAAAATAAATCATTTTTGTTTTGTACAGTGCATTGCTCCGCTACTTGAGTTTCGGACTTAGATCTTCCATAAAAATACATTGTATATTTAACACAGTACACCAAAACACTCTTTTCCTGTTCTTGGTAGCTAGGTCCTTGATAATAGTAAGAACTGCAACCGTTACAATGACTGTTCCTGCACGGTATGGATTGTTAAATATAACATCTGTACTCGTGAACAATTGTAACGAAATATTACACAATAAAACGCTGTCACTCAAACCTTTCAGAAACAACTTTTGAAAATAAATTTTCTGATAGAAATGTCAGGTAGAGTTAAGATTAAATTCTGTGATTCTTTAAGTAGCTTAGAATATTCATTTTGTTTCTTGGCAGACAACAGCCTCGGGCTTGAACTGCGAGTGCCCACAACCCAATACTAGTTGACTACATTTTCATAATAAATTGTAATTAAGATATACATCTGAAACTGTGTGATGTTACAATGTTGGGTTCTTTGGTGACTTTTACATCTACATAGTTTTGGCTGTACGGCAGCTAGCACTTCGCTATGTGATAAATTTCCCACTTTCAGAGATCGAATAATAGCTCAAAACTGATCCTGCATTGTCTGATCATGTTTATTGGCCATTTCTGAAGACGATTCATCTTTTGTTTGTGTTTTTACATCTGCATACATAGGGTCTGGCTGTAAGGCAGCACGCACCGTTCGTTACGGGACAGATTTGCAACTGTGGGACTTTCACTTTATTTATTTAACCATAAATTAAATCTCGGGTCATTCGACCTGCTTTTCAGGTATTTTAAAGGATATTGAGCGTTAGCCTGTGATTGGCCCTGCCCTATATTATTATGACACTTGCCATTACAGTAGCTGTGGTGTTTGTGTTCGATTCAGTGAATCTGAGACTGGCCTTCTCCTGTCTTTAGAAAATTGTTTTCAAAATCTCCATACCGGTAATAATGATCACTGACCTTGAGACTGAGACTGACCTTGCTCTGTCTGCTCCTGACCGCTGGTCATTACAGTAGCTGTTTTGTACACAGAATTTATCTGCGAGACAGTCTGCCCTGTGCCATAAGATACATTTCTAGCATCGAGGGATTCAGTGATGGCCTGATACTGACCCCGCCCTGTCTGACCATCACCACTGGTCATTACGGTTTCTGTTTGATACACAGAATTTAGCTGCGAGGCAGTCGGCCCTGTGCCATAAGATACATTTCTAGCATCGAGGGATTCAGTGATGGCCTGATACTGACCCTGCCCTGTCTGAACATCACCACTGGCCATTACAGTAGCTATTGTGTTTGTGATGGTCTGAGACTGGGTCACAATTTTGTATACAGAATTCTGCTGTGAGGCAGTCTGCCCTGTGCCATAAGAAAGATTTCTAACATCCAATGATTCAGTCACGGCCTGGGACTGGCCCTGTCCTGTCGGATCATTACTATTGGCTATCTCTGTAGATGCGTCGTCCTTTGGTGGTGATTTAACATCTAAATACATAGGCTGTAAAGCAGCTAGCACTTCGTCATGTGATAAATTTCCCACTTTCAGAGATTGAATATTAGCTTGAGACTGACCCTGCCCTGTCTGATCATTTCCACTGATCAGCTTAGTATCTGTGGTCTTTGTGTTGGATTCAGTGTTAGCCTGAGACTGACCCTGTTCTGTCTTGACATGAAGTTTGTCAATATCTTCATACTGGTGATCATTATCACTGGTCATTACAGTAGCTTTGGGGGTTATGTTGGATTCAGTGTTAGCCTGAGAGTCACCCTGCCCTCTCTGATTATGGCCACTGACCATTACAGAAACTGCTGTGTTTGTGTTGCTCCCAACAACACCGGGATTCAGCCCTACTGGAGGACTCCTGGTCCTCTTTTTGTACCAAATTACAGCCAAGAAGGTCCCAATAAGGACAATACCGGCAACTGAACCACAAGCTGAGCCAATGAGAACAGGTAGAGGGGAACTGCGAGCAGATTCTGGTTTGTTTGAAGTGATTGCAAGGTGCGAAGCTAGTGTTGCTCTTGTTTTGCCTGCAGGATCTGACATTTGGGCAGCATTGAACTTGAAGTACCAGTGATAGTGAGAGTTGTGTGAGATCAATTGAATATCAGCTATCCGTGATGTTGTGGTCGCCTGAAGGGAACTGGGAGCAGATTCTGGCATCTCTGAAGTGATTGAAACGGGCGAAGTTAGTGTTGCTCCTGATTTACTTGTTTTTCTGCAGGATTTGCTGTTGATTCAGCAGTGGTTTTAAAGACCGATGGGCTAGTATTGCTTTCTGTGTTACCAACTGAAGATGTTGACACTGCAGCTGAACTGTTTTGAACAGTGACAGGTGATACGCTTGGCTCTTCACATATCAAATCTTCAGGATCGACATTTTCAAGCTTGTGTCCAAGAAGTTTGGCGGGTTGGGCACAAATTATCTGGTTCTTTAATGCATGAATTAGCATGACAGGAGCCATCCTACAGTCACACTGCCAGGGGTTCCATCCAAGTTGTATTTCGATATTAGATTGGGACAAGCAGAAAACTGACGGGGGAATGGCCGTCATCTTGTTGTTCTGAAGTTTCAAATTAAATGAAAGTGGCAGATTTTTAAATGCACCAGAATGGATGGTACTTATCTGGTTGTTGCACAGCCACAACTCTTGTAGCTCGGGTAGATTTGCAAATGCACCAGAATGGATGGTAGTTATCTGGTTGTTGTACAGCCACAAGATTGTTAGCTGGGGCAGATTTGCAAATATACCAGAATGGATGGTAGTTATCTGGTTGTCGTTCAGATACAACTCTTGTAGTTGGGGCAGATTTGCAAATGCACCAAAAGGGATGGTATTTATCTGGTTGTATTTCAGATTCAACCTATGTAGCTTGGACAGATTTGCAAATATACCAGAAGGGAAGGTAGCTATCTGGTTGCTGTGCAGGTACAATCCTTGTAGCTGGGGAAGATTGGCAAATGCACCAGAATTGATGGTAGTTATCTGGTTTTTGTCCAGGGCCAAGTCTTGCAGCTGGGGCATATTTGAAAATGAACCAGTATCGATGGTAGTTATCTGGTTGTTATTCAGGAACAACGCTTGCAGCTCGGGCAGATTTGCAAATGTACCAAAAGGGAAGATAGCGATCTGGTTGAAGCTGAGAGACAACCTTTTTAGCTCGGGCAGATTAGCAAATGTACCAGAAGGGATGGTAGTTATCTGGTTGTTGTTCAGGTACAACTTTTGTAGCTGGGTAAGATTAGCAAGTGTACCAGAAGGGATTGTAGTTATCTGGTTATTATTCAGCATCAGCAGTACTAGATTGGGCAGATTTGCAAATGTATCAGAAGGGATGGTAGTAATCTGGTTGTTATTCAGGAACAACTGAAACAAATTCTTATACCGTAATAGCTCAGACTTCTTTACAGTTTTGATAGAATTATATTTTAACTGTAACGCAGAGATGGATACTGGGAGGTTCTGAGGGATGCTGGTGAGGTCTAGGTTGTTGCAGTTGCACAATGATGATGATGTACAGCTGCAGCCAGCCTGTGGCATGTTGGGCTCCTTCAGGATGATGAGAAGGAAAATCAGCACGTGTCGCAGCTTTCTGTCCATGGTGTCCTGCCACCTAAACAGAACGGCAAGCTCCTCAGTAAGGCTACTCCAACTTTATGTTGGACCACGAATTTTTAAGAAAAAAAAAACTAACTATATGTGTAGGATTGAGAGAATGACAAGATACCTTTGGGGTTAGGCTAGGGTTGTTGAATTAGAATCTGAAGGTTCTGGGTTCAAATCCCAGCAAGGATATCCACCTATTTATAATTTATAATTATATACATATATCATCATTAGAGTACAGCGTATTTTAGATTTGTCGCTGGGACCTGTGTTGACGATAACTTCCGGTAATGAAAAATTCGCATCCCCGTCACATAAAATATTCTGACAGCCGCTGCCGAATCTACAGAAAACAGCCCTTAAAGTACCCGGCGGAGCCAGTTGTTATTGTATGTACCTGTTAATTGTCTGAGACTTGCTGCTTGAATATGAATAGTGTGTACTCCTGCTTATGGCCCTGTTTGGACCTCCTAGACAAGGAAATCAGCAGAAGAGTAGAAAATTGTACTATTCTCTTCGAAAGGTAAGGAATTCTTTTTCTGAAATGTCATTAAGATATAGCCATCATAGGATCTCCCAAAAAAGAGTAACTAAATTGTAAACATAAATTTTCTTACAAAAAGTTTTTATTTCTGAAAAAAAAGTGGCCATTATAGGACTGAGTTTCTTGGTTACGTGCACTCTACTGAATAATGCAATTGTAAAAAATCTCCTGGCAAGTATAGACAATTAAGATGTGTTGCCGTGTTCATTTTGGAAAGCCATTTTGTGATGGCAAAATGGTCGTAACATCAAGCCTAAAAAGCAGTTTAAACAGACTGTGGCTTAGCAAAGTCATGATGGTGTATCTGTAGTTCCTGATTTGAGCGCAAATTTTGCCAATGATGCCACGTCTCCAAAATACAATATGAATATAAATATGAATAAAACAATATAAATAAAACAATCATGGCACAGCGCCCCTGTTACCCCTGTTAGAACTAACATTTTCCCAAGCAGATATTAAGATGGAAATTATTGAATATTTTCTGACGTGCTGACTTTTCTGACAGCTAACTATCTGATTGTCTTCATTAAAAACAGCAAACCTTCCCCCGTCATATCTCTTTAGAGAATCAAAATCTGATTACCAGCATTACCTATAGGCGTGGGCCAGTGGCAAACTGCCTACAAGGCATTTTACCTGAATTGTTTATCTGTTTATCCACTTGCAGACACATACCTTTCAAGTTGGTCAGAATAGCTTCAGTTGACACTTTTTTGACAAACTCGGGCACAGGTTGCTGTTGTTCTAGCAGGGTGTGTCTGCTTCCTTCTGTAGCTGATCTGCAATGGCGTGTGACAAACAACCCTGGATCGGTCTTACGTAAATGGTGGAGTTAATTGTCTGAAGCTGGCTATTTGAATATCATTAAAATCTATGATTACGATGAAAATTCTCATCGTGATGCAGGTCCAGAGATGTTTATTTACTTGTTTTCGTCACCAGTTACGTATTACCAAGCCGCTACTTTTAAAATGTATCAGATTGGTAACTTGTATATTTGAAAGTTTCTGCATTAAAGCATGGAAATTATATAATGTGCTCTGCTAGAAGGTTTTCAAACTTAGATTGTCCATACTTAACACCGGAAGGCAGAACATTCACTCCCTATTGCTAGCTTAGTAATCGGTGTTTAGTAACAATAATATCAGCAACCCTGCTGGCAATAATGGTACAGACCTGTTGACAGGCAACACAGCTGATATTCATGGCAGCTAATTTTTACTAATAATGCCACGTCACCATATAAAACTATTATGGCGCAACACCTCTCTTGCCTTTCTTAAAACTTACCTTTCTTTTCCCAAGCAGATATTGAGAGGGAAATTTTCTGATTTTTAGAATTTTTCTGACAGCTATCAACAATTGTCGTCAGTCCAAAATAACGTTATCATTTACCGTCACTGATTGCCAGCCTAACCTATGGGCGTGGGCCAGTGGCAAACTGCCTACAGGGCTTTTTACCTTTATCCTCCCGCATATACATACCTTTCAAGTTGGTCAGAATAATTCTAGTTACACTTTTTCTTGACAGGAACTTGGGCGCAGGTTGCTGTTGTTCTTGTAGGGTGTATCAGCCTCCTTCTGCATAGAGCTGATCCGCAATGCAGTGTGATAAACAACCAAGGATCGGTCTTACGTAAATGGTGGAGTTAATTGTCTGAAGCTGGCTATTTGAATAACATTTATGATGAAAATTCAAATCATGCGCCGGTCTCATGTTGCATATTCACTTGTTTTCGTCATACCAGCATGATACCTTAGAAAAACATACTGGTATCAGATTTTGTAAGATTTGATTGCGTCAGACTGTAGTATTTCAAATTCTTTAATGACTTTTTTTTATCTTGGATAAGACTGTATGTGTGTTTGTCTGTCCGTTCAGCAAGATAACTCTAGAATGCATAAATGGATTAGTTTTCTATGTGGTATTCTGTGAGAAAAAATTGAAAATGGTTACATTTTCGTCTACCTGGCGGTTTTCCATGGCACTGCAGCTGACCTTTTACATGTACAACAGACTGATTTTGAAATGCATCTTTTTGTGTATCATTAAATATCTTAACAATCTTTTACTGAGAGAAGGGGGCAGTCCGAGTGCAAGTATTGCTTTAGATTAAAACTATTGGCTGAAGAAGTTCTGTTTTTGTTTAAATCTATATTTGCAGGGGCTCTGGGAGTGTCACTGAAGGAATCACAAACAAGAATATGCAAAGTTCTGTTGTATTTATTAATGAATAACATGAATCAACGAATGAACATTATTATATTTATGCCCTTACAGGCTAAGTACAGGTCATGGTGATTGAGTTCTATGGATAATAAGAGGTGATACAGCTCATGGTGTCTTACTACATGAGATTCCAACATTATAATAGAAGAACAACAATCCCAAAAATCATCAGTGTTGATGCCTCTTAAAATGACACCAATAGTTTAGACTTTCTACAATACTTTGCTATGCTATTAGAGTTCCGAACTTAGATCATCTATAATTATACATTGTACACTTTACCCAGAACAACAAAACACTCTTTCCATGTTCTTGGTAGGGCAATCAATCATAGAATCAAAGTTGGAACAAGTATTAAAGTTAAACCTTGAAAAATACAACGGTGATATCATCAATAAAAGGTTACAGATTCTTATATAGTTATTACCACAATTGTCACAATACTACAAATTCAAAATGACAAAATGACAAAACACTCTTTCCCTGTTCTTGGTAAGGCAATCAATCATAGAATCAAAGTTGGAACAGGTATTCAAGTTAAACATTGCAAAATACAACCATTACACCGGCAATAATAAAAAATACACATTCTGAAATAGGTATTACCACAATTGTTACAAAACTACAATTTCAAAATGAAAAACTACAACTTATTTTGAATCAGACTCAGCGTTGATGCCTTTAAAATGAAACTTTACATCTTTATACTTTCTGCAGTACATTGCTCTGCTACTAGAGTTCCAGACCAGATGATATTAAACATAAGCCTAAGAGTGGCCCTGCCCTGTCTGATCATGACCACTGGCCATTTTTTTACATGTTGGGTTCTTAGGTGGTGTTATGGAATCTAAATACATAGGATTTGGCTGTAAGGCAGCTAGCACTTCGTTCCGTGACAGATTTTCAACTGTGGGGGATTGAGCGTTAGCCTTAGACTGACCCTGCCCTGCCTTGTCATGACCACTGGCCACTACAGTAGCTGTGGTGTTTGTGTTGAATTCAGTGTTGGTCTGAGACTGACCCTGTCTTCTGTGGTCATGGCCATTGGTCATTGCAGTAGCTTTTTTGTACAGAGAATTTAGCTGCGAGTCAGTCGGTCCTGGGCCATATGATTTCTAGCATCCAAGGATCCAGTGTTGGTCTAGGACTGACCCTGCCCTGTCTGATCATGACCACTGGTCATTACGACAGCTGTGGTGTTTGTGTTGGCTTTGATTAGGGCTGATACTGGTCCTGTCCTGTCCGGCCATGGCCACTAGTCATTGCAGTACGATGATATGTAATATGATGTGTAAGACCCACACAACTGTGAACTTAGACTGCAATTTCACACAGGGATTCAACATTGCTGTCATGGCCCACATGGCCTCATGCATTCAGTTAAGTTCAGTTTAATTCAAGTAGCTGACATGTACACAGAAATGGTGAAATTTGCTGAAAATTACAAAGATGATATACATGCAATAAAGATCAAAGAGCTCTCTACATTAAGAATGCGGTTAAAAGCAATCAACACAAAATACACAAGACCATATACGGCACATTGTTTTGCATAATTCATACAATATATCTTATGTGGTGTCAGTGGTGAAGAAATATTTCTCATAACTAAGACTAGTCCTTACAGAACGAAAAAAAGGTATGTCCAGATTACTTTTTTGATTACAATACGAGAAAAAAAAAAGAAAAAGTACGTCCAGACTGCATTTCTGATTGCAATATTAGAAACTAAAAAAGTGTGTTTAGACTGATTTTCCGATTACAGTACGGCAAAAAATCTTGTGTTCAGATTACGTTTTTTATTAAAATGTGAGAAATTCAAAAGGTTTGCTCAGAGTACTTTTCTGCGTACCACATGGGGAAAAAGTGTGCCCAGATTCCTATTCTGAGTTGATTACAAGCCGAGTGTCTAGCCTCCTTTTCAGGCGTTTCGATTGGTTATTTCACGTGTAGATCGCACGCATTAGAACCTGTGCCGCCAACCCTAGTATACTATCCGTACGTTTGGTAAAAAAACTACCCCCCCCCCCAAAAAAAAAGACCGATCGGAATGCCTGAAAAGTCGTTGCCATAGAAACGACTCTTGTTGCGGTATTAATATCATAAATAACATTCTCAACATTTCTACAGTCTTTTAAGCATCGGTTTTACAGTCTTAAGCTGAATTTTCATATCACTTTTGAATTTGGCATGTCTTGTGCCGATCTTGTGCCCTTGGGAAAGGCACTTAACACGACTTTCCTTACTTCGCTCAGATGAAAATGAGAACCGTCCTGTCATGTATTTGTCCCCTGTGTTGGTGGCGGCATTGATATAAGTTGAAGAAACTTGAGTGTGCCGTCACTACGTCTGGTGATTACAAGTTGGAATAAAAGAAAATAAATGTGTACTTAAATCACAGGGAAGCAAGAATAATATTTGGCCGGTTATAACCTGAAATCAAACGAGCGTAGAATGTTTTTGTTTGCTACATTTATCAGAGAATTCAAAATATACCAGACAATATTCATGGAGATTATTTTGCATAATTCATTCAATATAAGCAAAATACATACAGTCTCAAGCAACATATTACGCCAGGTAATACTATGCACAGTCTGAAGCAAATACATATTGCACTTCAATTTACCGGCTACTGCGTAAATATTACTTGCTTTTATTATTATGCTTTTGCTGCAAATCAGAAAGTACAAAAAATACCGTGTCGATTGCTAACATTTTCCTTTCACGATACAAATACCATTTCGTACATGGCTATAAAAAAAAGAAAACTATAATTAGGACTCCTAGAATCCTCCTTACACTACTTACAGACTTAAGTCACTGGCAAACCTTCATTTCATTTCATTTCATTACAGCTCTTATAGTCAACAATAGTGGCGTCGTGTGGTGTAGTGGTACTGGACTATGAAACGGGGAGACCCGGATTCGATTCCGGGTCGTACCCGAACAAGTCCGAACATGCGCCCCGACGTTGTACCCTTGGGAAAGGTACTTTACACGACTTTCCTCACTTCACTCAGGTTCGGCTAGGGACGTCCCTCGGATAGGACGTTAAATGGAGGTCCCGTGTTTGGGAGAGCCACACCCCACGCACGTTAAAGAACCCACCACACTTATCGAAAAGAGTAGGGGACCTTCCCGGTGTGAGTGGTTCAAACCTTACAGTCTGGTCTCGGGGTTGACATCTTTGAAAAGATGATAGTCACCTGTTATGTCAATCCTTCCTCAAATGTGGTAAATCTTCATAAATAAATAAATACACGTACACAACAGACAAATTGGGGTTTGATAAGTTGGCAACTAGACATACCAAAGTACATGTCTTTTTACATTTTTGCACGAGTTCCAATTTCCCTACGGCAGCACTCTGTTGCGGTGTTTGGTTCGTCCATCCGATTGGTACGAGGTAAAGTCAGTCTGTGTTTGTCCCTTCGCTTTTCAGTACCATGAGCTCTACTGTAGTACTGTTACAATAATGTCTAAATGCCGTGATGTTCCGTTCAGTCATTGGTAACAAGTAAGCTCGAGTTTGTGCTTGTTCTTCCACAAGTGTTCGGACACTGTACATGTAACAGTACTGTATATAAACAACGCTTAGTTCTTCCATTGTTACACCTTGGCGGTGCAATGCCCAAGGAATTGCTGTTTAGTGGGTATTAAACCGGCACCTACGATCTCCCAATGATGTACACCAATCTCTTAGCAGATCTTTTGATGGCTAAAAATACAGTATCAAATTAGTCAGGCGGTATCCATTTTCCGGACAGTTACCATTTTGCCACCATCGGCGGACCAAATTAAACCCTTGTCAACTTTACTAAACTCTTGGGCGGCAAAATGGTAACTGTCTGGCAAATGGATACACGGCCTGGCCAATTTGATACTGTTTTACCCCTACCGAAAGATCTGCTTGGAGATAAGATTTCTACGGCGTGCATTTTGATTGCACAGTTCGACCATGTCATGGCCTTCTCAGCTTTACTTCAATCGGATTGTGCATGGCGGTTGTACATGTGGGATGTTGTTTGCAAAGGCATGTCCGTATAAGCTCTACTGTTAGCTGAGTGTTCATTCGTCGGCGGAGTACACAGGCTACGTACATCATGAGCTACGTGACGTTCATTATACATGCGATGGGATGTTGTTTGCAGAGGCAAGTCCGTATAAGCACTACTGTTTGCTGAGTCTCCATACGAAGTCGGTGCATAAAGGCTACATGGTTCATGAGCTACATCATGACGTTTATACATGCGGGATGTGGTCTGCGAAGGCCTGTCTGTATAAGCAATTCCGTTTGCTGAGTCTGCATCAGTTGGCGGTGCATACAGGCCACACGGTGCAGCTGTTGTAGATGGAGGCCCGCTAGTACTGTGGTCGTGCTCAGATTCCGTTGTGTGCTGATCACCATCTGGAACAGCTAGACCCTCGTGATCGAAACCTCCAGTAGGCTGAATGCTGCTTTGGGGCACTGGTGGAAAGATTTGTTGCAGAGGGATGGAGGGACGTCCCACGTTGACTTCTTGACAACGATTGCACCCCATCTTGCTCCTTTTCTTCATCAGTAGTCGAAAGAAACATGAAATGAACAACAAAGCCAACAAGCATTCAAACGCGACGATGGAGACGTAAACAGGAATCGGAAGTTCTTGGTCCTTGGAGACTTTGGGACTAGGTGAAGACTTTTTGATGCCGGTCTGTGTAGCTTGTGTTGGTACGGTTGCAGAGCTGTATTTGTTGTGGGATATTTTTGTGGTGCTGGGGTGCGAAGCATTGGTGAAGGCATCCGTCTTCACTGACACGGTAGCAGTAGTAGAAGTAGCTTTTCTGGTAAGGTGTAATGGGTTTAGTTTATCGTTGCTAATAGACGTGTCCATCCCATGGCCTTGCAGTGTGCATTGAGCTTCTGCTGTAGTTATAGCTCTTGTCGTATCCATTTCTGTAGTTGCAGCTCTTGTCATAGACATTCGACGTTCACATTCTGCAAGGTAGGTAGAGACGTTTGCTGACGAAAGCTGGCTCGTTTTGTCCGGGCTCTTGCAGTAGAGATCTTCGCGTCTTCGACCGGAGACGAAGTAGCAGACTGAACATGACGAACAGCGGGTGTTGACCTGTCCCCTGTCCATGCAGGTTTCAACGGGCAGGCCGCCCGTGTAGAGACAGTCACAAGGAGCTGGGTTCCATCTAAAGAATGCTGTGGTGACGTGTGGCCACCCTACATCGTACAAAGAACAGGACACGATCTTGTTGTTGGAAAGATATACCTGCCTCAGCTTTGGGAGATGGTCGATTACGGTGCTCAGCTGTACATACTGCAGCCGGTTACGACGGAGGTAGAGAACCCCCAGAGCAGGCAGATTACAGAGAGTTTCCCAGACTATAGTCTCGATTGAGTTGTCGCTGAGATCCAGGGAATACAGCTGGGGGAGGTACGGCAGTGAAGTCACGGTTCTGATGGCGTTGTACAAAAGGTCCGCCCGATCGGCGTTCGGCGGTATGTCGTGAGGGAACGTGGTGAGACCCTGGTACTTACAGTCTACGGTTGTGCTAAGGAAAGGCACCTTTCGCTTTCTGATTTTGCACCCGGCCGGCAGGCAGTGACTACCCCCTGGCCAAAGATATGTCAACGCAATAAGTAAAAGTAACGTACCTACTTTCATGTTTACGGAGCGTTCATACACATCCGCCACAGGCTGCCGTCGTGAGGGTATCAAGCAAGTTGGGGCACAACCAACCACTGTCAAAGATCTAAGACTGCCTTTACGATAAAAGACTGCTGGACTCTGTGCAACAACTGTACAAAGACACCAAGAATACCGCCAGTGATCAAAGAAAGGCCGTGCAACAATGTGGCTAGACTCTGTGTGTCCTACATCTAGTGTGGAGATGAGTCTGTACCTCGTGATGATTATAGGAAAAAATCGATATCGTCTTCTGTCCACAAGGTCTTCAGGGCCAGAATGCACGTCATCCAATCATGTACAAGCACCGAACCAATGACTCATTAACACTCACAAACTTTCTAATACGAGCTCAGAAAAGAACAGGAAATAATAATGACTTCAAACGATTGCAGGCCATCTTGTACTTCATCTGAAATCAGAGTATACAGAATACAGACCTGATTGTAAAAGTTTAGAGTTTATGGAATTTATTCATGCCATTTTTTGGCAAGGCTATACCTCTGTATACATGTATGATGATCTCACGTAGACGGATTGACATCATTCCACTTCCACTTTTATATAGTTCTTATGAAAACTAAAATTTAAACATCTCAATCCTTGGCTGATAAATCTGGTATTCGGAGGCATGGCTTCTTCTCGAAGCCGATACTTGGTACATTGTACTCAGTAGTTAGTGCATTGACCCTTTTGCCTACATAAGAGGACAACTTTTGTCCAACACAAATTAAGATGTATATATAGACAGACTCCTCAGCTTATACCATGTAATAATGCATGAAATCACCACACCAAGGAACCAGACAATACAAAATCCTCGAGCTAGCCTCGGTAAGATTGGTTTTGTGATTTTAACAGAGAGAGGGTCATTTTTGTTTTTTAGTTGTGAGCTGTTTTTGCCTTGCTGCGAGGATTTCCCTTTTTTACACCATAGAACCTTTCTTCATTAAGAATAATATCTTGGGCCCTTGTCGTTTTAAGAAGGATATATTGTTCAAATTACCGAATTGTACTCATTTTATGGGTGACAATCAGACAAGAGCCACTGTCACAAGCCCCTGCCATACACTCACGAATTCGGCCTCCAGAATACTACCCCCCCTCCCAACCATGGTTATTATTAAGAGTAGGTCGGCACAGAGTCGGCTGGGTCGACGACCGGTGTTCGACAAATCCGTCTACTGTTCGGCTACACCAGCCGATCGTTTCAAAAAATCTAAACAATTCGTGGGTCAGTCGGGAGGTTTGATCATGATTGGGTGCGTTGTTGGCTGTAAGCATCTGGGAGTAAGTCAGCACTAATGTTTAGGGCGTGTTGAGGGACTCAAATTTGACTCAAATTTAACTGGAATTCGTTTCGATTTGTATATAAAAGTAATATTTAGGAGCGTGACATGGGTTTATCTGTTCGTCCAGACATTTTTGTAATGTGTGCGTGGGAAAGATGGACAGGCCGAATGATAGGAAATCAAAGGTCTCAGAAGCTGGCATTCAGGAATATCAGAATTGCATAATCTGGACTCATGTAACTGTCTCTACCAAACTACTTTGCAGGTTGAAAAGATAGTAGAAATCGGCGTAAAAAGGAATGTAAGTGGCCAGGGGTGTTAGCTGACCTTAGAGGGTCCATTTTGCTTTTTTATTGCAGGCAAATTCAGCCCTCTATGGCCGGCTAATTCCCCTGGCCAGTTAAATCCTTTAAAAGGGCCTGGTCGAGACTAGTCCGATCGATCAAGTAACACTCCAAGACTCCAACACTTCATTAATTTCTTATTATTTCTACTGTTTATTGTCTGCCGGTTTTATGTATCAGTTTTGTGGTCATACATGTACGTCATTTATTTTCTTGTGCCATGATTTTGTTACTCTAATAAAATGAATAAAAAAAATAAAACTTAAAAAAAAGTAACACTCCAAGACAATCTAACACAAAAGAAATTCAGATGCTCATATGATTGTTACCGATTATATTTGATGTAGAAAGTACAAACCGCACAAATGGACTGTTCCTAAATCACCCCTGAACTACTAGAACAGGGGTGCCAGAGTATACAATGCAATTTTATGGAATACAGTTCAATCGTATTAGTATACAGTGCAATTTTACTAATGACGTTGAATGACGTAACCTGGGCCCGGCTTTCCAGGGACGCCGCTGACGGACCGTATTCACATTTTCTATGCTTTTCGAGCGAATTTGAACAGTTCTCGTAGATAGACCTTTAGTGAAATCACTACATACTACACACAGGGCATGTTACTACACAGGGATCATTTCGAATTCGCTCGAAACAGACAGAAATATGAGTCAGCCGCGTCCGTCATCTTGAAACTCAAGGAAAGCAGGGTCCAAGTCACGTGATTCAACGTCATTAGTAAAATTGCACTGTATTCCGTAAAATTGTACTGAATACTAATACGATTGCACTGTAGTTCCGTAAAGTTGCACTGTATACTAGTAGTAAAATTGCACTGTATTCCGTAAAATTGCACTGTATATGTCTAGTAAAATTGCACTGTATTCGGTAAAATTGCACTGTATACTATGACACCCCTTAGAAATGTTCAACTAGATACAGGGGAAAAGAAGACTGGTAGGATGGAACAGGAAATAGTGAAAATGAAAGGGTTCTATTCGCAACACGCAAAACACAATTCAAAAGATGTGCCCCAAGGGACATGATTAAAATGTTGCAGAATTATGCAAACAAGACGACATCATACAGTTGCATGGGTATATGGCAACTTGATAATAGTAAATAGAGGCATGTCATGGTTAATACTAGTTTCAGCCATAGAGTAGCGTTAGTGTTCCATGGGAAAAATGGGACTAGAAAGAAAGTATTAAGAGCGTCGTTTTGGGGGCTTCGGGTTGAACTAGTAACGTAACATTTTAACAGTTATATAATTTTGTGTATAGTATACATTACTTATTAAGTTACCTGTATGTTGGTATTTTTTTTCAGCTTAAAGCATTATATTTTATACTAAAAATATTTTTTCTCATTTTTTTTCAATTTTTCAAACATAAGCATCCCAACTTCATTTACGTCTCCGTTAAATAAATGTATGCAATTAAGCGGAATGTTTCAACAGAAGTAAAAAAAAAACATTGTATTTTGTATACGATGATATTCATTGTGTTTTAGCTTAAAGCAATATATTTTATACTAAAATTGTTTTTGTTTTCAACGTAAGCATGTCGATTTTATCTACGTCTCCGTTGTATAAATGCATGCAATAAAGCGGAATGTTTCAACAAAAGTAAAACACATTTGTATTTTGCAAACGCTGGTATTTATTGTGTTTTAGCTTAAAGCAATATATTTTATACTAAAAATCTTTTTTTTTTTCAACGTAAGCATGCCAATTTCATCTACGTCTCCGTTGTATAAATGTATGCAATAAAGCGGAATGTTTCAACAAAAGTAAAAACACATTTGTATTTTGGATTGATGTCCAAATCCAAAGCGGTATTATGTGCTCCCGAATGTTTTTCTAATGTTGTCTAGTGAAAGAGCAACATTCTTTAGATCTAAAGCTTAGCTTTAGTCCTGACTGTAAAGCTGGTGTACGACACCCATGGGTGTTTAAAATTGCTAGAACAATAAAAACTGAAACAGACATCGAATGATTTAGTATTTTTTTCTTATTTTTCTTCTTTTCTATGTTTTTAAACACGCCTGTAAAACATATAGAAAATATATGTTAGAAAATATAAAGGCTGCAAATTTTAAAGATACACTTTGACTAATAGTATATCAAGGTTTGCTTGTCTCAAATAATCTTCTCTTATTACTTTCTGCAGCATGATAGATGGAGACGAATTCATTTTCCTAAAGAAAGAAAGAAACAGCTCATAATTCCATGCAACCAAATTAGTTCGATGTTTTGCGACGTAAAAAAAATCATGATACTAACATCCCACAGTTAAGAGTCGTAACCCAGTCTTGTGTTTGCGTCCAGCACGCTGTTTTCTTCTTAGTACAGACACAGCTTATAGAGCAGTCCGCGCAGCGTCGTCTTTGATGGTCTTGTTGGCCTTTGTCAAATTAAATTAGTCTGCAATCTCAAAAAAAATACCGAGAAAAGAACACCGAACGGCGCTTGCCCGGCAAAATATGTAGTACATATTCATTAAAACGTCGTCAGACAATAACATGATTTTGTAATATTTAAATATTTAGAGAGATTTTGCTTTTTTAGCATGTGCAACCGCCGAATGTTTGTACAGTAAAGATGTACGAGCAAGCAGAGCCTGTCAGGACTCCGCAAGCGGGGTCCGGCAGGGGACGGAATGTCAGGCCGCGGGAACCCTACCCAGATCCTCCCGACCGCCGAGGTAACACTAGCGGGCATGTCGGCCGTGGCAAACAGTCATGTCCCAAGTATCAAGAAGAGGAGGACACATCTTCGAACGTGTACGAAAAAGCTGAGACGGTGAAACTGGAGAATATCCCGAGAGACGCGCCTTATGGAACGGACACGTCTACAGGTAGAGTGCGCTTTTCGTGAAATTTTCTTATTAGGTGTTTCTATAGAATTAGATGAGTTAGAAAATTAAGAAATGGAAGAACAAAATACATAAAATTTAGTCTAACATAGAACTTTTACGTCAATTTCTTTTACTTCATATACGATATAGATACCTTTGGAATTTAGCAGTTTGAAATCTGCTTTAGGTAGAACTTTTACAATAAGTAAGAGATGAAGGTCTGACTTAGGCTTTAAACAAGTATCTTTTATTTTGTATATTAATTGAAATAAAGATGATTTTAACCTCCAAATGCCAGACGTTCTTTGCAGTTTTCCTCATGTGCATTAAAGCTACATTATGTAACATTAGTCATGCTAAAAGTAAATCTCTGGTAATTTCTTTCAAGGTACATGTAAGTTAAATCAACCCGGCTCCATTGTAGAAAAAAAAGTGACATTCAGGAAGTGGAGGTAACACAATATGACTTCTTACGGTAGTA